TCTTTCGAGGATAGGCATAACCACTAGGTGACTTCTGAAGAATGCAGGCACCATCTCAAAATCAACAGAACCATGAATGCGGGACATAAAAGTTTTGCTTTGAATTGTATAAAGGCAAATATTGGGCCTGCCAAATCATACAAGCTGTACAAAGAAATTGTGGGAGGATATTCCGGTATTGGTGCCACCAGCGTTGATTTCAAGAACTTCAAACGGGAACTCCTTGCTTACATTTGAGGAGCAGACGCGCAATTGGTTATCGACAAGTTCTATAAGAGACAAGAGCATAGCACCGCATTCTACTTTCACTACGAAGTAGACCATAATGACTGCTTGCAACGACTTTTCTGGGCAGATCCAATTTCGAGACAGAATTATGGATCATTCGGAGATGTCGTGACATTTGATGCAGCATATCGCACCAACAGGTAACTTACAACTTGTATTTTATATGATTGCATTGTATTACAGAATTACTGAATGCACAAAACATCATTAATGATTGCACATTACGTTATTACAGGATGCACAAAAAAATCATACAGTGATGAACATTATACTATACCTCCATGCACAAAACATCATTATTAATTGCACATTACATTGTTACAGGATGCACAAAATATCATACAGTGATGAACATTATACTATGCCTCAAACCGTATGTTAACACTCAATGGTTATCTTTACAGATACAACATGATGTTTGCTCCCTTCACGGGAATCGATAACCACAACAAATGTGTTACTTTCGCGGTAGCCTTGATATCGAAGGAGGACGTAGGTTCTTATGTTTGGGTGTTTGAAAATTTCAAGGCCGCCATGATTCGAGAGTCAGAATACATTGTCACGGACCAAGATCCCTCAATTGGAATCGCCTTTTCTAAGGTATTTAATACGTCAAGGCATCATTTTTGCATGTGGCACATAATGACAAAATTATATGATAAGGTAGGGCATTGTTTGCATAATGATGTTGCTTTCAAATCCAGACTTAATGAGCTTGTTTGGAATCGAACACTAGAACCACCAGATTTTGAGACGAAGTGGACTGAACTCATGCGTGAATATGATCTGGAAACCCACAGCTGGTTTGTTGATTTGTATGCAAAACGGGAACATTGGATTCCGACATTCTTTAGAAGTGTTAAAATGAGCGGGCTAATGAGAACTACGTCCAGGTCAGAGAGTGAGAACAATTGGTTCAGCTATTTCATGAACAGTCATGCTAGTCTAGTCGAATTCTTGCTACACTTTGATAGTGCAATGGATGCGCAACGAAACACATCAATGAAATTGCAAGCGGACAGTGAAACACACTTAACTAACTTGAAAACTCCATTAGCTATTGAAAAGCATGCTCTGAATGTATATACCACTGCCATGTTCTATCTTGTTCAAAAAGAAAACTGTGCAGCGTGTTCTCATTGTCGTCTTATGAAATTCTCAGGTGACGATGGGCATACGAAATTCGAAGTCTAGGATATTAATGGCAAGACATTCACGGTGCTATACAATGCGAGTCTGAAAACGTCCACATGCTCTTGTAAGCATTTTGAACTGTATGGGTGGCTGTGTAGGCACGTTTTCGTTGTGTTGAGGGATGTGAACGCTGAGGTTATACTGACTGCATATATTCTATCGAGATGGACAAAACTGACAATTCTTAACCCAATGTTCTGCGTTGTTGATGGTATATCCAAACAGTGTGCTCAAATTGATGATAGGAAATTCATGGTGAATAAATTGTGGTCTGACATACATCTATGCATGGGATTGGTCGAGTCATCCATGGACCGCATTGTCGAGTTTTCAAGACTTATCAAAAACCACAAGCACAAGTTGATGACTGAACAGGGACCTGTTCCAACCGGGACGAAAGAGCATCGATTTGAAACGTTTGTCAGCACGTCTGCCCCTCAGGAGTTGAACATACACCCGCCGGCTAAATCAAATAACAATGGCAGTGGGAAAAGTATAAAAAGCGGGAAGGAGCAAGCAATCGAAAAATCCATAAAAAAGAGACATATATGTAAGACGTGCGGTGAGAGGGCAGGTCACAACACCTGGACATGTCCCAAGAAACTGTCGTGGTATGATTTGTAATACAACACCCGGACATGTCCCAAGAAACTGTCGTGGTATGATTTCTAATACATTTCCCGTCTACAAAAAAAAAAACAAAAAAACTTTGTTCATGCATCGTTGTGTTAAATTTTTGTTACATTGGATTACACTATCGAGGTACGAGCATGCCTTACATATTTCACTAATCGACGTATCTAATTACATGCAGACAACGAGAGTCAATGAGAGTGGATGAAGATGCTGAAAGCTTCGATGTTGCACTTAACCCATTATTTTATTTTATTTTTCGTGTTTTGCTTCGATGTTGCACTTAACCCATTTTTTTTTCTTTTGTGGTTTTTTTTGTTTTTTTTGATATTACCGTGTTGCTACAAATGATGTTTATTGTCTATCCAACTCTATATTGGTTTTATTTTTATTATTATTATTATTGTGTTGTTTTGTATGTTCAATGCATAAATATACATAGCTTGAAGCGACTGCACGTTATTGAATGCGACATAGCACATTAATTTAGACGATTATGCACATTAAGAATCATTGTTATTATATGACTGCCAACAAGTATATATGATTACATAAAGGTTGCACATTATAATAAATAAATATACATAGCTTGAAACGAATGCACATTATTGAATGCATCGTTGCACATTAATTCGATCAATGTTGCACATTAAGGAACAATATCAATATACAACTGCCTATCGCATGTATATTCGACTACACAAATGTTGCACATTATTATGCGTATTACAGCACAATATCTATGGATAGCCTGCACATTATAATACCAGCCAGCATACTATATTTATGACCGCAAGTTCATGCCACAAAACCCCGTCATCATTCAGAAATATGTCTAAAACCCAAAACGCAACATATGAAAACATATGATTCATATAATAAATGTCTACACCAAAATGATAGATATTAAGATAATAAGTTATATATCTAAAGATATTTTTATGAAATAAAAATATTTTATGATTCATATAATAAATGTCTACACCAAAATGATAGATATTAAGATTATAAGTTATATATCTAAAGATATTTTAATTTTATGAAATAAAAATATTTTAATTTTATGAAATAAAAATATTTTATGATTCATATAATAAATGTCTACACCAAAATGATAGATATTAAGATTATAAGTTATATATCTAAAGATATTTTTACTTTATGCATATTAATAAAAAAATACACAGTAATTTTCAAAAAATTAAGGTTAATTGATTGATTATGCAATTTAAAGAATACTTTTAGTGTTCAATATTTTTTTTAAAGACACAAATATAAAGACCGAGATTCTAAAACTTTTGTTATATTTTTATTTGAGATTTAATAAATATAGAGACCGAGATTTTAATGTTGTTCGTTGTTTCTAAGAAAAAAATAAAAATAAAAACATACACACTCAATAAATCTTAGCTGGATTTTTTAAATAATAAAATGAACTAAAGCCCGAAATTTAAGGTAACATTTAATGCTCTATGATTTTTAAAGAAAAAAATAAGAAAACTAATAAAACTTACTATTTATAGACTGCATTAAATTCTGACCTATTTTTTGCTACTATTTTTGGTAAATGGTAATTTTTAATATATAGATATAGATATACAGATATATAGATTTGCTTATTTAACTGTTGGAGTTATTAGGTTGACTTTATTTTATGTTATTTAACTTCATTGAATATTTTAAATCGCATATTTATATTTAAAACGATTTAGATTGAGTTTATTTATGTTATTTAACATGATTGAATTTTTGGATTAGAATATATATATATTCAAAATTATTTTATTATTAAAAGTAAAAAAAAAAAGATGCCATAAAGATTGCAACTTTGAAAAGTTTGTAACCATTAATTTAGGAACCATCCGATTTTTAAATGATTTATAATTTTTGAAACAGGACACGTGAATCTAAAACCCATTAATTTAGGAACTATCCGATTTTTTAGAATGAATTAAAATTAAAATGTAAAATAAAAATTGCTGAAAATAGTATATAATAAATGTGGTTTGACTTTTTCTTACTACTATTTATGGTAAATGGTAATTCTTATTATATATATATAGATAAGATATTCAAGAAGAGTGGAAACAAGAACACTTCAATAATGGAAGAAGAAATGAGATATGTGTGTGGTTGCTTCTTGAAGTGTGATCTATAAATAGAGAAACGAATTCACATGCAAAACAAGTGTAGTGACTGTAAAAAAGAATCCAATTCAAAATAAATCAATGTCAATTAATTGTTTATTCGTTTGTCATTCAATAGAAAAGAATCCAATGCTGCAAAGTAATCTAATGCAAAGTAATAATGTAAAGTAAAAATGTTGACATGGCCTTGTCCGAAATTATTGCATTTGGCAATATGTTGGTCAAATTTGTTCACTTCACATGGTCTTATCCGGAAAGAATTCAATGGTTAGATGTATCATTTGTCATTGTCCAACAATAATGTAGAGTAATAATGTTTGACATGGCTTTATCCGAAATTATTGCACTTGGCATTGTGTTGGTAAATTTTGTTCACTTCACATGGTCTTATTCCGAAAGAATCCAATGGTTAGATGTACCATTTGTCTTTTATTTTTTACTAGTGCAGAACCCGTGCGATGCACGGGGTGGACAATTTTAACGCTATTTATCCAACTTTATTATTATATTCATAAATAAAGAAAATTAAATAAATAAAATAAAAAATAATATTATATATTATTAAAAACATATTGTAGACAATATTTTTTATTTGCCTTGTAGGCATACCATCCTCCTCATAAACTAATATTTTCAAGCCCTTTCGATTAGTGACATGGGAAACAGCTACATACAGTGCCGTAACATGAGTTCAGTCACGGCCAGTGGTGAGAATAGAAAGAAGAATAGGTTCAGCTCCTAAGCATTCACTTGAGATGTTCGGATCATGCGTAAGTTCTTCGAAAAATGCAAGCTGCAGCTAATCCTCAATTCTTCAATTCCCATCCACTTGTCCTTGAGAAGCTAGATGTGCCATATATTTATGCCAAAGATGAAAACAATGATGTTAGATCAAACAATAAACTATTCTAGATAATATCAGCTTTCATACCATTTAAATTTCCTTGAGAAATAGAACAACCTGAATTTTCAATAATCACCAAAACATGTAACCAAAAAGTAGTTATATCATCTTAGTTTTTGTTGCATAATTAAGCCACTATGTTATTCATAATCTTGAATCGTGTAATCATTTTCTTCTAGTTAAAAATTGGAGGTATTAAGCTGGCACTTTTTACACTTCCTCTAGAGAATACAATTGAAGCAAACTATAGCCAAAAGACCGTAAAATCTTGTTAACTTACTGCATGATAGGCATATGGCGATTTTCCTTGACGCTCAAAATGTTTGGCCATTATGCTCCATTCAATTGGCCCCCAGTCTTCCACTTCAAAGCAATTGCTAAGTGCAGCTTTATATAGCTACCAAATATATTAAAATCTCATTCACCTGAACTTCAAGCTATGTAGAAGAGCTTTAGATGTTCAAGGCTTATATAGCTACCAAATATATTGAAATATAAATTAGCCAAATTTCAAGCTATGTAGAAGAGCTTTAGATGTTCAATGCTTATCATCCCACAGTGTGCACAGCACAACAAAAATCAATACACTTCAAATAGAAGCAAAGTATAATATTTTATCTGTACACAATCATATTATCGATTTAAAAAGAGAAAAAAAAAAGAAGCTAAACTTCACAACAGTTGCATCTTAGAGCTGAATTTGTTGGCTGAATAATATCATTTCACATTAAAAGCATAATGTAACTCAATAACAAATTCAAAACCAGCTGCTAACAGGTAAGTTTTATAATTTATCCAATTTAACATGCAAGCAAAAACTCAAAAGACCACCTAAAAGGGTAAGGCAATGTCAACACCTAAAGCCGATGAACTTTACTTTTAGTTGGTTTTCGGCTAAGCCATTTACCTTAAAACTAATTTGGAAGTAATTTAAGTCAAAATTTTTTCTTTTTCTTTCTCACCACATAGTACACATAGACACATACCTTTGCTTGGTCAGCTAGAAGTTCAGTTCCAGCAGGAAGAGATACATAGATTTGGTCAACTCTTGAGTATCCAGCTCTATTTCTGTATTATATAAAAATTAAAGTTGACAAATTTGATGCTATGCATATAAATTTTCACCGACTTCACACAATCTCTCCTTTGCAGTTCCACATGGGCCTGTTTATTTATTTATTTATTTATTTCCCATTCAAGATTATTGACAATTGTTCGAGTTACTCTAACTCAATTATGAAACAAACCAACACTTTTTAAACAACAAATACGCAGGCTTCGGAAAACAGAGTGATTAAATCAATCAAGACATGAATCTTACTTAAACACCTGCTAAAAAAGATATGAACTTTTCATCAAAAAATCAATCACTTCTTCCTGACACAATAATGGGCTTCAAAACTTACGTATTGTTAGTGAAGACAAAGCTGATGAGCGCAGTAAAACAGAAGAACCCTGTATAAGAAACCGGTCTCCGAAACTTCTGAATCTTTTAAATCTTAAGCCATCCATCATAAATCCGCCGCATTTTCAATGAACAAAACAGAAAGCCAGAGCTTTGCACCGACATTTATAAGACAGACACATATGCAATCCGTTCAAGAATTTCATCGAACAGGTGATACACATTTTTTTTAAAAAAATAAATAACATGAAAGAAGCTTTTCAGCTCGAAATCAATTTCATCTGGGCCGTCCCAAAAATTTAAAAAAAAAAAAATGAAAACCAGCAGCTCTGAATTTAAAAATGTTTACCTTCACCAGCCTGGTATCTCGCTGGGGAAAATTCCTCTAGCAAAATCCGTCGGGTAAGATGTATACTAAAATTTTCAAAGCCATAAGAATATTAGAATTCTCCAAAAAGCGTGAACAATTTTTTGTGCAAAATATGGAATTAGAATTCCTGAAAGTGCATGAACAAAATATGGAATTAGATAAATTTTCACAAAACCAGCCTCTTCTCTTTCACGGAAGTTTCTCACGCTGAAATCTCGCCAGCCTTCCTCTCTTTCATGGAAGTTTCTCACGCTGAAATCTCGCCAGTCTTCCTCTCTTTCATGGAAATTTCTCAGGCTGAAATCTTGCCAGCCTTCTTCTCCGGTCACGCAACCAATCTTCTTCTTCGACAATAAATTCGAGATCAAAGCAATTTCGGCTTCCAAAGAAGCCACCTTCTCCGGCCTGCAAGCTTCCATCCTGACAAGAGAACTTTAGTCGTTCTCAGCACGCCTTCAGACGCCATGTCCTTCAATTTGTTGGAAAACGTGTCTGCCATGTCCGACGAACAGAATCCTCGCGCAGACACAAGCCGTCGGCCAATGTCCCATTCAGGAAAAACTTAGTCCCGTGGCGTTGAGCCGCTCATCGATCCTCCCGCCGTCAGCAGTCCTCTCAGAATTTGGGTTAGCAACCCTTGTCTAGCCACTCATCCGGGGAAAAGAAAAACATGTGCGTGAACTACTTTGGCAAAAGATATGGAATGATTTTTTGCCTCACCGGATTTCATAAAAGTCCTCACAAATTCGTAGGGAATTAGTATAATCTCCTAATTACCTCACTAGTGCATATCCCGTGCGATGCACGGTGTATATAAATTTGGAGAATATTATAATTTGACATGCATTAGGATATACGAGAGTTTAATACATACGAACATTATTCAATCATTAAATGTCCGTCATGAAAAAATCTTATATTATTAAAAACTTTTGTGTACACAAAATTATGAGTTTGATTATTGGGTAACTTGTGAGGGGCACGGGCCGGACACGGGCTGCACAAAGGGCTGCGAAAACTGGTGAGTTGAATAATTTATAGATAGAAACATAATTTAATGATTCCCTCTAATTTCATATTCAACGTCCCCTCTTATTTCATATTCCATGTTTCACAATATTCTCCAAATAAAACAAAAAATTACATACAACAATTCTTAGGTTGACCATCAAATAAATCAAAATAAGACTGTAAATAAACGTAAACTTTTCCTTAATAATTTCTATATTTTTTTTAAATAAAAATTGTAATGTTTCGACATAAAATTGGTTTGTTTGTTTTTCATTAATTGTTTATGAATAGGCTAACTATCTTAATTTTTGTTCAAAGTTGGTTTATTTTTTATTTATATCATCAGACTTGATTGCACACGTTTTTTATGGTAATTTCAGATAACATCAGAAATATTATCTTTGATACGGATCAACTTTAAAGACTCTCGAGAATAATCAACTCTGTTTTACTTTGAACATTTTTAAAAAATATGCAGCACGTGAGTTTTTTTTTTTTGGAAATGAATAATGTACAAATTACGTATACGTTTTAATAAAAATTGAATCTATTAACATTTTCATTACATTTGAATGTAATATGTTTATATTAGTTTATATTAAAAAATTTAATTATATATTTTGACTTAAAATACTCCAAAAAATTTAAAAGATTCAAGTCTCAGTATTCATGTACGAATTCATATTGTACCACAAAATAGTTGTTGTCTTGTAGTTATATTATTTATACATTAATAAACCGATTCTTAAGGGATAAACTAAAAAAAAAGAGAGTTTTATAAAAGTGAACTAATTCCATATTTTGATGTAGTAAATCCCTTCATATAAGGGATGATTTGTTTCCCAAAAATTAAGTCCCGAATTATTTGCCCCTGTAATGCACAAATTCATTTGAACTGCAATTAATTTATCCTTTAAGTGAAATATAAAAAAAAATTTCCATAAATGGAAATTATTTAATTATGTCTGAATTTGACCAAAGAGTTGACTTGCCATTTTTGATAAATGGTAAATCTTATTATATATATATAAATTTGATTATATTGGCAACTTATTCAAAAATTACATAACCATATTCAGAGCATCTCCAATGCTCTAATATTGTTATAGGATAAATTTTGACAAATGTCAAAATATTAAATAGAATGTAAACCATGTAGGAAAAATGTTGAGTTCGCAACTATTAAATTAAAAAATCATCTCCGATGCACAATGTAGTCTAATTACAATACTATCTACTTACCAAATGTTAAATTTTAATGTGGATTAATAAAATTAATTAAATAATTTGAAGATGGTAATGATAGTTCTCTCTATTCTCTTCATTGGCTAGCTAGAGTGTGGAGGAAAATGTGGATGAACCACATTCTTCTCTACATTGTAGACATTAATTATGTCCACATCGCCACAACATTTGTGATCACATTGTACATTGAAGGGTGAAAAGTTGTGATATTAATAAATGTGTTGATGTGGAATGTAATTTACCACTACAACATTGAGCATTGGAGATACTCTCACGGATATGGTGTAAATAACTTATCCATAAATTACATAACCATATTCACGGATATGGTGTAAACATAATTTTTTATGAAGTTTTCACAAATCATTTATTGACCTCTCTTTTTCAATATACTAGTGCGTGGTCCGTGCGATGCACGGGAAAATAATATTACGATTATATTATAAATTAAATATATAATATCATTAATTATGATTTACCCATTGTTTTTAAATTAAACCAGGTTGGACACAGTCCGACCGGATGGACCGAGAACCGGGTTATAAACAATGTAGTTCGTTTGAATAAAATATTTACTATTGAATCCGTCAACATCAGTCAGTTGGACTGGTAGGATCGTTACGATTTTCTAAATAAATTTTGTTACATTTAAAATTATTTTAAATAAAATTACATATTTAAATAACATATAGATTTATAAATTGTTTATCAATTAGTTTTAACATTTGAATTTATAAATTGTTTAGATATTTAAGTAACACATTTTATTAAAATTTATTACAAAAAGTACTCTCTCTCTCTCTATATATATATATATATGTATATATATTAAAATGTATATATATTGATATTAAAATATTTATAAATTAAAATCTGAACAAACTACAAATGATTTAATAGAATAACTTGATCGTTTCGATGATGGTTCGATTCTGAAAACCATAGTCACTGTACATTAATAAAAATTATAATATTTTATTCACATAAATATTAATAAAATGATATATAAATATTCATTAATCATTAAACATGTTGTCATATAAACGTATTGTTAATATGATTATTTGAAGTTTGGGGAATATTAAAAATTGAAATGAATTAATAAATAAATATTGTTGTCATATTCACATAGTAATTCTTATTAAAACTTGAAATGTATTAACATGCTTTGAAAAATAGTTAACATGCTGTTACATGTTGAAAAATTTATGAACAAAGCCTCATAAATTGAAAAATCTTGTTAACATGTTGTCAATTTTTAATGAACAAAGCTTGTTACCATTTTAATTTTAAGTGAAAATCACGTATCTATAACAAAGCATGTTAATCACTCTTTTAATATATTGTTAATATGATTATTAGGAAACAAAAAATTACTAAGAATGACAGGTAATTAATGTTGGCTGAAATTTGACTTTTCATTTTTTAAAAATGGTAATTCTTATTATATATATATATATATATATATATATATATATATATAGATATATAGATATATATATTGATATCCCCCTATATCCCTATATATTAAATCAGAACGCGCTGAGCCTACGTGGCTGCTTCTGGTACTTCGGAATCCTATGTGGCAAAATTACATGCTTCGTTATTAGGCTTGGGTAAATTTTAATTTAATTTCAAACCAAAAATAATTAGATTCGGATTTCCATAAATATGTTGATTATTTAAGGTCATGTTACATGTATTAATTGCATTTTAATATCATTCCTTATTATAACTATTGAATTGTATATATATTTTAAAAGTTAATAACTTTTGTATTTTTTTATCAGTTTTACATATGTAATATATCAAATTAATCTTCTTTTGATGAGTTTCGATTTGACATCCATATTGTATGTATAAAAAAATAATTATATTTATCTTTATAACAATAATAAAATTATTTTTAATATTAATTAGAAAAATAAAATTATTTATCAACTAATATATTTATATTTCAAGTATTTATATGATATAAGTTATAAAAACTAATATAATAAAAAAAGCCTCATTTGAAAGCCCAAAAGCGAGACGCACTACGGCGCACAGCTGGGCGCATTTCCAATCAAAATATTTCAGGTTATGAGAAAAATCTGCCCCTCAATCCTATCCGCTCAAGTCTTTTGATCCGACGGTAGAGCATAAACCCTAATTGCCCAAGTTATCAGATTCCTCATATTTAAATTCATATCCTCTCATCACTTCGCCTCGTTCATTTCGCAATTCGCAAATTCTCTCTTTCATCGGCAGCCAGCGAGAGAGAAACTCTGTACTCAAAGCTTCCTGTATCCGATTGTAAGTTCTTCATTTCTTCTCTCTATGGTGTTTATTGTCTGTGCATGTGTGTTTGCTGCTGTAGATAGTGCATTTTCAAATTTTGTTCGTTCGTCTATGTGGTTACGTACGTCTGTTGATGCTAGCGTTTATGGTAGATCGTTGTTTGCGTTTCCATATTTTATGAGATATTGTTTATCTTTGCGTATTTGATATTGTAGATTTTGCATATTTCGATTTTATAGCTCAGCTCTGTGATTACGTACCTATGTGATGTTAGTGTCTCTATTAGATCATTGATTGCGTTTCCAGATTGTATTAGCTTTGCTCTCTGTTTAAGTACAACGATTATTTCTGAGATTTTTTTTTAGCCATATGTTAATCTGATGATGTGAAGCGAGTATATGTATGCTTTGGTATTTCTCGTCTGGCTTATGATTCTGTGTAGATCCGAACTTTAAGTTCTTAGCGATCTGATTGTGGAGTGTTTGATTGATTTTTTGTATTAGCTTCTATTGTTGCCTGTGTTGGTCTATCCTCCTGTGTTTCCATGGATTATGAGAAATTCTTAATTCTTGATTAAAGATCTCGTACTTGGATGTACAGAAGCCTTTATGTTTGATGATGCTTTATTGTGTTGGATTAATCCTTCTTTTGTTTGGTACTACTCTTTATTGTATCTTTCGTTTATAAATGTTGTGTAATCCTGACCTCAACACTCATTAGAGATGATTCTCACATCTGCTAAACTTGTCTTTAGAGTCCCATCTGGCTTTCATTCTGTACATATTATTATAAATTACTGTGTCATGCTGCAGTTTGAACATTCAGAATGGGTAAAGAGAAGGTTCACATCAACATTGTGGTCATAGGCCATGTCGACTCTGGGAAGTCGACCACCACTGGACACCTCATCTACAAGCTTGGAGGTATCGACAAGCGTGTCATTGAGAGGTTCGAGAAGGAAGCCGCTGAGATGAACAAGAGGTCCTTCAAGTACGCTTGGGTGCTCGACAAGCTCAAGGCCGAGCGTGAGCGTGGCATCACCATCGACATTGCCCTGTGGAAATTCGAGACCACCAAATACTACTGCACTGTCATTGATGCTCCCGGTCACCGTGACTTCATCAAGAACATGATCACTGGCACCTCTCAGGCTGACTGTGCTGTTCTCATCATTGATTCCACAACTGGTGGCTTTGAGGCTGGTATTTCCAAGGATGGCCAGACCCGTGAGCACGCCTTGCTTGCCTTCACCCTTGGAGTCAAGCAGATGATCTGCTGCTGTAACAAGGTTGGTTGATCTTGTGGAAATTGTCTTCTGTTAGTTTCTTATGATTTTGTTGTTTGTTGTGCAGTGTTTAACATTAATTGTTTGAAACTTCCACAGATGGATGCCACCACACCTAAGTACTCCAAGGCCAGGTATGATGAAATCGTTAAGGAGGTCTCGTCTTACCTCAAGAAAGTTGGTTACAACCCTGACAAGATCCCTTTCGTCCCCATCTCTGGCTTCGAGGGTGACAACATGATCGAAAGGTCCACCAACCTTGACTGGTACAAAGGCCCGACTCTACTCGAGGCCCTTGACCTGATCAATGAGCCCAAGAGGCCTTCAGACAAGCCCCTCCGTCTCCCTCTCCAGGACGTCTACAAGATTGGTGGCATTGGCACTGTCCCTGTTGGCCGTGTGGAGACAGGTATTTTGAAGCCTGGAATGGTAGTTACATTTGGACCATCAGGCCTAACCACTGAGGTCAAGTCTGTTGAGATGCACCATGAGGCCATGCAGGAGGCCCTCCCAGGTGATAACGTTGGGTTCAATGTGAAGAATGTTGCTGTGAAGGATTTGAAGCGTGGTTATGTGGCTTCCAACTCGAAGGATGACCCTGCCAAGGAAGCTGCTAACTTTACCTCGCAGGTTATTATCATGAACCACCCTGGGCAGATTGGTCAGGGCTATGCCCCCGTGCTCGACTGCCACACTTCCCACATTGCTGTCAAATTTGCCGAGCTCGTGACTAAGATTGATAGGCGGTCTGGTAAGGAGCTGGAGAAGGAGCCCAAGTTCTTGAAGAATGGTGATGCTGGGTTTGTTAAGATGATTCCGACCAAGCCCATGGTTGTGGAGACTTTTGCTGAGTACCCGCCTCTTGGTCGTTTTGCCGTGCGTGACATGAGGCAGACTGTTGCAGTTGGTGTTATCAAGAGTGTGGAGAAGAAGGATGCTTCGGGTGCTAAGGTCACAAAGGCTGCTGCTAAGAAGGGTGCCAAATGAAGTGTGCTGGTTGATGTTGGTTCTGTTTATGCTGCAATTAAGTATAAGTACTTTCTGATTGAGAACTTTGTTTTTACTTGTGTCATGTTGGACTTGTTATGTTGGTTATTTCTGCCTTGCGCTTTGTCTGGGAGCCACTCCCAGAGTTGGGTTCTTGACAGGCGGTGGCATTTTGGAGTCTTTTGTTAAGTTTTGAACCTTTGAGTTTGGTTTTATGTTCGTGTGATCAAAACATTTTGTTATGGTTTTAAATGTCGGATTCATGTAGGAACCTCTCTACTTTACTTTGTTGTGTGTTCTTCTGGAGTTTTGCTATATGTTATTGGTTTAGGATTTTCACAAACTCATCGTACTGTGTTGGTAAGTCTTGAGAGAGTTGTATCCTCTGTGTGGCAGATACCTTATTCATCGTACTATGAGTAAAATCCCTTGTGTTGAACTTTCATGTTTCGTGATACATGATAGAAGTTCGAGATGCATAATGTGTTGAACTTTCATGTTGGGTGATACATGATAGAAATTGGAGAAGCTGCAAGGTCTTGTGATATAGGATTGAATTCTGGCTCTTTACCATTAGGACATCTAGAATAGAAACTTCTATCTAACTGGCTTTCTTTACAAATTCCATATTCCTCATGAAGTGACCAGTAAATTAAAAGGTGTGTGTACATTTTAAAGATCTATTTCCAACGAATAGATTTTTCATATTTTTTAATGAAACATTCAAAAGAAGACTTGTAAAAAGTGGATAGTTTGAAGCTGGCAATTAGTTCTCTTTCACCTAGCATTTAGACATATTTTCAACTCTTCCTATGACCAATTTCTCAAGTTGTGCGTGATAGATAGACCTTGAACATAAAGTTTAAAGACATTGGATATAAGACCAATTTCTCAAGTTGTGCGTGATAGATAGACCTTTAAAATAAAGTTTAAAGACATTGGATATAAGTTCAATTACTCTTACTATGACCAATTTCTCAAGTTGTACATGATAGATAGACCTTGAACATAAAGACATTGGATATAAGTTTCAATTATCATCAACAGAAGACCCCATATATATTTCAGTATAAATAGTCCTCATGAACCACGTGATAACACATTGCCTATTTACTGAAATCATTAAGAACCAGGAGAAACAAACATTGCCTATTTAGTTATCCCCATTAGCATCTATGCCTAGCTATTATAGATTTCACACTAGCAAAGATTTTAGAGACCACAGGACAGAGATGCATCTGAGCTCCATCACCATCTAAAGACAAAAACAAATTATCTAAACGCTTTTCTCCGATGGACAAAAAAATATAATCCTATAAAGACTCGAATTCCTACATAGAGAACGAAAGAAAAGGGTGGAAGAAGTGGGAAAAATGGGTTTTTACATCTCGAGGTGATTCCTTTACTTCGAGATTCGGGTAAAACCATGGGTAATAATAGCTATAGACAGTTTTTCAACTTCCATTGTTGCATCACAAGAAAGGATTACTTCAACGTTCTCGATGGCATTCATCACAAAAGTAAAAGTACATGAAATGTCCCTCATACATGAGCTTATGCAGCATCACGTACGGTACAAATGTACAACTCGCTGCACAAAGTCGTTCCTCGATGGAGGTACAACTGTCTTGAGCTCCTTAATCAAACAAATCATTATAAGTGGATTTAATTACAGAAGTAGCAACCAAGTTGAAGCCTAATTGCAACAAGAAGTGTCCCTTCTTCAGGTCTCCCAAGTTCTGGACATGAGACTGGGATTTTTAAATGCCACTTTAGGTCTGGCACTTTTAAGTTCTAATCACAAATTTGAAATTTATGTACATAATATGCTAGTCGTAATTATGTACTATATGAATCATAGTTTTAGTTGTAGATGTTATAAAACAAGAGAGAATAGAGAGAATATAGAGAATGTTATCTCTTCGTTATCTTTTCATTATAACTGAAGTTCCTATTTATAGGAAAACTTCTGATGGCACTGTAACAATGAATTTTATGGGAAAAACATAAAACTTTTGTACAACTTGAATATATTTCAATCAAACGATATTGCGGTACAATCTCTATATAATTCCTCTGATTCTTCTCTTCATGGACTTGGATTTGGATATTCAAATATGGATATGGACTTGGATCTTCTTTGAGCTTGATTTTGAATTTCCCTAAAATTAATTTGGAGGTCGAATGACTTTCCCGTATCAAATGTTAGGACTTGACTTGATTGGAGAAGACTTCTTGGAGGACTTGTTCCTTTGATCTCCTAGAAAGGCGGATTTTGACTTGAATAACGTTAACTCGAGGGCTTGATAGCTTTTTCCCGGATCGAACGCTATGTTGGTTGAACTTGTCAATGAATGCGGCTTGAATGTCGCTTGAACGTTGTTGATATTCTTGGATTGATTTGAGAGGAGTGGAAGTCGTCTCTTTACTTCTTGGGGAAGAGTGGCCGCCTCTTTTTCTTCTTCTTGGCCTTCTTCTTCATTGAACGAACTTCGGCGGTTTGAATGTTTGGTTGCGGGTTGTACGCCGACCTTCAACTTGAGCGCCTTGGATCTTCAAGAACTTCTTCAAATCTTCAAGAGGGTTCTTGAGAGCTCTTGAATTTGAGACTTTGATTTATTGAGGTGTAGATTTATTGAGGTGTCATTTTTGACCTTGAGGAGAGTCTTATTTATAGGTCTAGGAGAGATAGTCTTGGAGAAGAAGACATCAATTTGATTGGTCCTTCTTGATTTGATATAATCTCTTTCCTTATCCTAGGATTTGATATAATCTCTTTCCTAATCTTAAGATATGACTTGGTGGACAAGAAATAATAACATTATTAATTATATATCTTATTTATCATGGATTTATGTCCAAAAAAATAAATAAAGACATTAATTAATAAAATATTAAAATTTCGATGTCTACAAATGCCCCCTTGAGACTTGTTCACGGACAAAATGTCATGGTAGTGAATGAGTCTCAACATTATGAACTTGGTTTGGACATGCAAATAGTTTAAACTCTTATCTAGGAGTTCTTCGATATGAGTTTTTAGATAGTTTAAACTCATATCAGGGAATTCTTCATTTGACTTGATTTGTAGATAGTTTATACTCGTATTAAGGAGTCTTCAAATTTGTATACATTTTATGCTCGTGTTAAGGAGATTTTGATATGTAGACATTTTATGCTCGTGTCAAGGAGCCTTCAAGTTTGATATGTAGACCTTTTATTCTCATGTCAAGGAGATCTTGATATGTAGACATTTTATGCTCGTGTCAAGGAGCCATATAGATAGTTTAAACTCGTATCAAGAAGCATTTGAATTGAATATTTGGATAGTTTTGGCTCATATCGAGGAGTTTTATAGATGGTTTAGGCTCATATCAATGAGCATTGTAGATAGTTTAAGCTCGTATCAAGGAGCATTTGAATATGTAGATAGTTTAGGCTCATATCAAGGAGCATTGAATTTGAGGATTGATAGAGCTCTTCATGTAAATTGCCCCCATGGAATTTTTCCTCCATTTGAATGAATTTGATGAAGTCGACGATTTTCGGCGGCTTCATGGGTTGAGGAGACATCATCCTTAGTTGCTCTCTTGTACATTTTCTTCACAGAGGTCTTCATGCATCTTCAAAAATTTTCGAACTTGATTTGGAGAGAAGAGATGAGAGGTAGAGGATGTCCCACTGGAAATGCCAAATTTGTAACAATGAATTTTATGACAAAAACATAAAACTTTTGTACAACTTGAATATATTTCAATCAAACGATATTGCAGTACAATCTCTATATAATTCCTCTGATTCTTCTCTTCATGGACTTGGATTTGGATATTCAAATATAGATATGGACTTGGATCTTCTTTGAGCTTGATTTTGAATTTCCCTAACATTAATTTGGAGGTCGAATGACTTTCCCGTATCAAATGTTAGGACTTAACTTGATTGGAGAAGACTTCTTGGAGGACTTGTTCCTTTGATCTTCTAGAAAAGCGGATTTTGACTTGAATAACATTGACTCGAGGGCTTGATAGCTTTTTCCCGGATCGAACGCTATGTTGGTTGAGCTTGTAAATGAACGCGGCTTGAATGTCGCTTGAACGTTGTTGATATTCTTGGATTGATTTGAGAGGAGTGGAAGTCGTCTCTTTACTTCTTGGGGAAGAGCGGTCGCCTCTTTTTCTTCTTCTTGGCCTTCTTCTTCATTGAACGAACTTCGGCGGTTTCAACGCTTGGTTGCGGGTTGAACGCCGACCTTCAACTTGAGCGCCTTGGATCTTCAAGTACTTCTTCAAATCTTCAAGAGGGTTCTTGAGAGCTCTTGAATTGAGACTTTGATTTTTTGAGGTGTAGATTTATTGAGGTGTCATTTTTTACCTTGAGGAGAGCCCTATTTATAGGTGTAGAAGAGAGAGTCTTGGAGAAGAAGACATCAATTTGATTGGTCCTTCTTGATTTGATATAATCTCTTTTCTTATCCTAGGATTTGATATAATCTCTTTCCTAATCTTAAGATTTGACTTGGTGGACAAGAAATAATAACATTATTAATTATATATCTTATTTATCATGGATTTATGTCCAAAAAAATAAATAAAGACATTAATTAATAAAATATTAAAATTTCGATGTCCACAGGCACAATCGTAATAATACAATTACATCAAGGGCAAAATAGTCATTCACATATATTAATTTATATTATAATTAATTAATTGGTGATGTTGGTTGAACCAACAACCAACCACATTATAACACTCCCCCTTAATTGACTATTTTTAAAAATATTGATTTAAACAAAACTCAATGTGAACATCTTGAAGTGTATATTGTGTCCATTGCTGATTCATCATGTCAGGAAAACCCAGTGGGAAAAAAACCCGATCATTTTGGAATCATAATATTGCTCCTTCAGGAAAACCCCGGTGGAACAAAACCTGAGTATTGTGGAAGCACAACTTTGCTCCCCATCAAATATATCATCTTTATTAGAATATTCGTGCGCTGCCTCGTTAAAACCTTGTCAAGAAAAACCCATAAAAAAAAAACTTAATCGAAGGAAAAAGAGTACAGTTACCCTAATGTCTTCTTATCATCATGAGGAATTATATCAATTATTCAGTAATCCTTATTATACCATGAATATGCCTCGTTAAAACTTTATTAGGTAAAACCCAGTGGGACAAAATCCTAATTAAGGAAAAAGAGTACACTATTCATGTGAATACGTCATCTTTGTTGCCTCATTAAAAACCTTGCTGGTAAAACCCAATGGGACAAAACCTCAGGCAAGGGAAAAAGAGTACAACGCATATTCCATATAATAATATTTCAATAATTTGTACGATACCAATACCAACACTTACAGGGTATTATTCCACCATCATATTATTTCATATATTTTACTACCATCAGTATCATTCATTTTATTTGCACACTTCTAGTGTGATAAATGTATCATTTACAAATTTCAATCATTGAATCTCCCCCTCATCTTAACAGATCCCTAATCTGTATTTCTAGCATTGAAATTTCTTGAAGGGAGTTCATATATTCTCCGTTTCGTTCTCGATTTTAATATATAA